AATATCCCACGGCTTCATGATGAAAATGCAATCCTAAGTGTTCTAACTGTTCATCTAAATGCATTTAGGACAAATAGCATTTAAATTATCATTTTGCTACCATTTCTGCTTGGACATGTTACACATATCAAATCAATTTGTGTTATACATTTTCATTTTCATTTTGCAACTTATAAAGCGTTCAAATTTGCATGCAATTTACATATTAAGACTACTGTTGGAAATGGCAAATGTAAATTATATAATTTAATTTTAATTTTCCTTTTGCAACAAACTTTGCACGTATGGGTAATGGAAAATGTAAATTTAAATACAGAAATACAATGCCATTTTGCATATTGCATTGCCATTTTGCATATTGCATTTTAAATTGAATTTCGCTACCTATATGCTTCCATACTTGTGTCATCCTGTAATTCTGCTCAATGATTCCCAAGAGCCAAAATGAAAATATATACTTTTTAGGAACTTGTATCATCAATTCTCATGTAAAGATCCTAATTGTTGATTTTTTTTAACCATGTATGTTATTGCTGCAGCATGGCTCTGACAAGTCATATTGTTCTAGCAAGTCAAGTTTTTAACCCAGATCTTGGAGAGTTTACTGTCCTGAAGACTTCAGTTCCAACCCTGCTCCAACACACCTGCCTGTCAAGTAACCCTAAAAACCTTGATTGCTGGTTCAAGTATGTTTGGGGTTGAAGATCCCTATATAATATCTTGGGAAATGATGAGGTTTAGCAGAAATGGACAAGCAATGTTAGTTTTAATTTTGTTGGCCACTTCTATTTTTGGAGTGTTGCACTGTCAGCCCTGTCCTGAGTGAAATCTCACCGGTCCAAATGAGATGTCCATTTCACTGCACATAGCTGTATATTAAACATCAAATATGAATTGATTTGCTGTCACATTACACATCACTTTGCTTCACTTTCAGTGGGCAGAGACAAATTGCTTGATTTGTCACACCTGGTTAGGACACAGTCTAATAGTCCAGGGAACTTGAGAATTAAGACTGCTTACCTGGCATCTTTTTCTTTTGACCTACTTGGAATGGGTTTGTGCCAATTCATTTTTTAAGAAGATTTTTTTTGAAGCTACAGCTGTCTAATGCTACAAACTTTCTGCACTTCCGACATGCAAAAACACATTTATTTGTCATCTTCATATCAGAAAATTAACCATGGTTTTACTACAAATAAAACCAAAACACCATGGTCACTATAGTTAAACCATAATAACCACAAATTAACTATGGTTTTGCTACACTAACCATAGTTTAACCATGGTATTTGTAGTAAAACCGTGGTTATACAAATGGTAATCAATACGCCAAAAAACATGGTTACTATATTTTACTACAATCAAACCATGGTTAATTTTTGTAAGGGATGGAAAAATAACCAACATTGGTTGCTGAAGTGTTGAACATAATTTCCCTGAAAACTCAGTTCAATTTTAGTAATCTTATAGAGCAGGAACAGAGCAGGTTGCTTATGAAACCGGTAGACTTTTGGCATAGTATTAGCCTGCAAACAAGCATCTTATTAGCTGAGGTCAAGCACTTGACTCCAGCTCCCTATTCTAATTTATCATCCATAATCATTCATCAACGGTGCTCAGGTCTGGGTTTTGTGCCGGACAGTCAAGTTCCTCACAGGGATGTTGTAATTTCAGAACAGAAGCACAGAATTCTGCACAACTGGACATGTAGTTTACTGCAGTCATACAGTGTTCTTCAAAACCCTTTCAGATTTGGGATCTGCCATTTATCAGAAGCCAACAATGACAAGGCGGAGCCAAGATTTAAACAAATTTCCCAAAGACCCTTACAGAAAACGCCAGAGCCCTGACAAGGCCAGCACTTTCCACATTATCCAGATTATGTGTTCCTTATAATGGCACAATGATGAAATAAACTGAACATGTTTGTACTCAGCGTCCTCATCTGCCGTGATGTTGAATAGTGTAGTAAACCCTGGTAAAGATCAATACATGAGCACATGCATCAGTGATAGAATGGGTGACACTAAACAACAACCCTCCCACACACACTCACTCACACACACACACACACACACACACACACACACACACACACACACACACACACACCCCCTCTCTCACACACACACACACACACACACACAGTACCTTGGCACTGGAAGCCTTGCTTTCCAAATCCCCTGTAGAGTTGCATTTGAAAAAGACAGAAAAAAAAAATGTGTTAGTGATAAAGCTGCAAAATATAACTTTTTTTGTTAAATGCTTTCCCCTCCCTTTCCTATGAATTTTCTAATTTTTTAAATGCACAAAATAAACTTTAACTTTAATGATTGTAAAGGTTGAAGGGTATTAAAACTGGATTTAGGTATTAAAATGTGACCAAACATCTGTTCAGCAAATCCAGTTTCATGATGAGATGATATGGTTTTCTGAATGTGCATTAATAGCTCATTACCATTACCTGTAACTGACAGTCTTTTGTTGAAATTAAACATTATTCATATTAAATATATATTTAAACATTATATATTACTATTATTATTATTGCAAATGTATGACCATAATAACATAGAAGCCTGTTAAAATAATATAGAATGAATGAATGAATGAAAACAATAAATGATGAAATTACACAAAACAAATTGTGATATATAAAATAAAATGGTTTCATGCATGGGACTACAAAATATCTCCTGTTATTTTTTAACATTTAAGTCATTTTAAAAGTGTTTTCATGTATTATTGAGAAAGACCATATTATGTTTGCCACTATAAACGTAAGAGATGATTGACACCTGTCAAAATACACTCAAGACTTTATTTTTTCATGCAAGTAATTTTAAGAGGTTTTGTATCATAAAACAAACCTTCCAATTAATTTAGTAAATATAAAACCTAATTAATGTATGCTACATAAATAGAGAATAAGCAAAATAAATACAATGCAACTTGTTTTTCCCCTAAGTTCAAGCACAAAATGAAAACGCAAACATATTGCCATCCTAATTTATTCATGTAGCCTATGCACCTCAATTTCCTATGAAAGGCAGAAAATTATGAAAAGTATTTTTTTTTTCTTGTATTACTGAGGTGTTATGCTTGCCTTGCCACTAGAAAAGTAAGAAATGATCGTCAGCTGTCAAACCAAACATCCAAGACTGCAATTTCTCAAAGTTTCACATGTAATGCATGAGTACTGAATGCAAAGCATGTTACCAGATAAAGTCGGTGCAGTGGCTGCAGAATGTGGGCTGCTTGAAGAATCGAGCGATAAATTTGTGGTTTTTAACTTCGTGCACGTTCTTCTTTCGCTGAGCTCCTTTCCGCGCGAATCGATTGACCGCGGCGGACGAGTCATTGATCTGTATCAGATGATCAGCCATCGCGCCGCTATTCCTCAGGTGTGTGTGTGTGTGTGTGTGTGTGTGTCTCCTCCGCTGCGCGAGTCGACGCGTCTACTGTACGCGTTCAGCTGCTGCTCTCCTGGTACAGCGCGCGCCTCTCTCACTGACACTGACGTCAACGCTCTATAGTGCCTGTCCACTCGTCACTCAATACGAGGGTGTATGACGCCATCCCGTGGACGAAAACCAGAAACACGTCATCTGTAGGGTTCCAAACGCGATTATTGGGGATGAAACAAGAGTCGAACGCTGCGGAACAACAGTCTGTCGACCCTTTACTACCATGTGTACGGCTATCAGAAACCTCTTTTTTTCTGTCGTACTTAAAGAATTAGATCATTATAATCAGTGTTGGGGATAACGCATTACAAGTAACGCGAGTTACGTAATCAGATTACTTTTTTTCAAGTAACTAGTAAAGATCTTTACTTAACATGCTAATGATTTTTGGCATAAAAGAAATATCGATCATTTTGACCCATACAATGCATCCTATTGTTGGCTATTGCTACAAATATACCGTACTACTTATGACTGGTTTTGTGCTCCAGGGTCACATATAAGCACTACTGAGGAGAGTACAAACAAACAAACAAACAAACAAACAAAAAAACTGTTAAAGCTGTGCCCTTATTTAGTACATTTAAGATATTGTGAAATAGCAAGGCCTTCCATTATTTTATATACATGATTTATTTTCTATATTTTTCTATGTCTACCATTGGCACCTTTGTTATGTATTTGTTTTCAAGCAATACAAAAAAATCAAACAAACAAATAAATAAGTATATAAAACATTTAAATGGCTAAATAATGGATATTTATAGATATAGCCTATTTGTTTGGTCGTAAACTTTATTGTAGAATTGTTTTTTGCAAAAACTCAAATTAATTGAATACCTGCAAACGGGTCTACAAGACCAGTAGCCGGTTGCACGAGACCCCTTAAGTTAAGAAAGTTAGTGCTAATTCATGTATAACTAAAACTAACGGTTTTAATTTGTTAAAAAAAAAAAAATGAATGTTTGTAAATAAATAAATAAATAGAGTACCCTAAATATCAAACTTAACTACATGGGTTTGTTTCACCTGCGATTTTATTGTTGCTAGGAAACAGAAACGCTTCTCGCGATGAACGGAATGAAGCCACAAATAGTAAGCTCTTTTCCGGCGAATTGTTTATTTATTTTTCAAATTAAAAGTTTGTTTTTTAATTAAAAGCGCACGTAAACATATCGTAGAAAACATAGAGACAACAACTAAATAAAGTTTTCTCGGTGTGAGTGATATTGCTGAAATTTAAAGCTGTGATGCACAAACTGTTGCAAGGAGCATGTGACTAGCTTGTGTTTAGCAGTTAGGAGAAAATATAGAGAGAAAAATATCAATAGTAGCTAACAGTTAGTCCTCTAATGTTGTAAAACAAATATCCGAATATGTTATAAAGTTGAATATTTGCACCTCAGCGTACAATAAAAAGAAAGTAAAAATTGTACAAAACAAAGTAGTTGTACATCACGGTGACAAATACACCTCTGTTATGTGAGACTTTTATTTTGAAAATTAAAGGCGCGCGTGAAATATGACTTCACAGTTTGTCAGTTTGAAACCGTTTGTGAGCGTAAGGTAGCAACAAGTGGAGGAACAGCGCACAATCACAGCTGCAGAAGACACTATACGAAGACATTATCATTCAAAATGATTTAGTGCTCAACAAGTATTTACCGTAGACTTACGTTTACATTAATACTTGTGTTTACATTAGCACTTTATATAAGCCCATCGCAGAAGTAACGTTAGCGCTTCTCAATATTTGTGAATCAGTTCTGCTAACTGGTGAGCTAACAAAATGATGAAAAAAGAATGATGTATCTATAAATTATGATTTAATATAAACTATTGCACTACATCACATAAATATGACTATTTATGTATTCATTAGAATTTTAAACGCATGTCATTGGCTGCATGCTGTATGTTGACAAATAATGACATGTCTGTCATTTATGGCTGTCTGCTATGATAATTAGCTAAAACATGCACCAAAAATACATACCTAAAGTCACATATGGATACAGGAAACTACAGGTTGTTTTAATTAGTCTTTTCATGTATTCAGGAGCAACATGAGTGATCAGGACTGCTTTGGGATTCTGGACTCTGAGTTTGATCATTACCTAGTGGACATGAAGCCATATGTGCTTAAGCTGACTGACAAGACAGGTGAGAATATATATATAGAGAGAGAGAGTGCTCTGTCATTTCAACACAGGATTTGTAAGGCTACAAATAAGAAAATTCGACTTGAAATTGATCTTTTTCAAAACCACATTTGCCCATCAGAGCGGCAGCAGTGTGCACTGTGGATTAAAAAGTTGTGTGATCCTGAGACCTGCGGCTCTGGACTGACTGGAAGGAAAAATCGTAACATGTATGCCCGACTCCTTCTGCACATGCTCAGAAAAGGAGTTTTAGAGGGTCCCTTTACCCACAAACCTGAAGCAGGCAGCCTCAAGACTTTACCTACGTACATGGTAAATACTGCACTGATACATGTGTTTACCTTGATCTGTATAAGGATTAATCGTGCAGCCCTACTTGAAATTTATCATTTTCAAAACCACATTTGCCCATCAGAGCGGCAGCAGTGTGCACTGTGGATTAAAAAGTTGTGTGATCCTGAGACCTGCGGCTCTGGACTGACTGGAAGGAAAAATCGTAACATGTATGCCCGACTCCTTCTGCACATGCTCAGAAAAGGAGTTTTAGAGGGTCCCTTTACCCACAAACCTGAAGCAGGCAGCCTCAAGACTTTACCTACGTACATGGTAAATACTGCACTGATACATGTGTTTACCTTGATCTGTATAAGGCAATATAACACCATAAAACGTTTTATAGGTCTGAGACCTGGAATCTGGTGATTGTTAAGCATTGTGATTTTTTCTGCTTTTAGTCCATTTATTTTGATGAGCCGTTGCTGGCAAAGTCACAGGAGCAGGGATCTGCAGTGCTGCCGGACTGGGTGTCTGGGGAGTTGGGTCAGACTGATGGCTCATGGTCCACCTCACCCCTCTCAAACACACACAGGTATGACACAGATTACAGATCACAGATTAAGCCACCTGTGTTGAGGTTAGGATGTGATGTGATATACAGTACGTGATTGATTAATTGCTTACTCCTACTGGATGGATGAATAATTGTGAATCTTGTCTCATGAAAAGGACCTACATGTCCAGGTCATACTGTATTTCACCCCAAAATCAAAAGGAAATATATATATATTTTTATATTTTACATAAAGACATCAAAGCTTATTTTAGTACACAGGCCCGAGTGATTAAAAATAATATTGATGCTACTACTACTACTACTAATAAAATCAGGAATTAAAGCTACAGATGCTTTAAATGATTTCAATTTCAAAAGTTTGGGGACTGAAAGTTTTATTTATTTATTTATTTTTAATTAACAGAAATACAATTTTTATTCAGAAAGGATGCATTAAATTAATCAAAAATGACAGTAAAGACATTCATAATATTACAAAATATTTTTTATTTCAAATATTTGTTATTACATTTTCTATTCAACATTCAATGCATTCTGAAAAAAAAAGTTAATATTAAGCAGCACAAATATTTTCAACGTTGATAAGAAGAAATGCTTTCTGAGCAGCAAAACAGAATATTAGAAGGATTTCTGAAAGATCATGTGACATTGAAGACTTCAGTAATGATGCTGAAAATGTAGCTTTGCCGTCACAGGAATAAATTACATTTTAAAATAGATTTAAATAGCAAGCAGCTATTTTAATTTGCATTAACAAATTAAGACACAAAAGGTGCATTTCTAGTTTCAACATTACTTATTCTTCAGACATTCCACTTTTAATACAATAAGTATTGGCTGTATACAAAGTGACCCACATTTGGCTTTTGACCACTGAAAATGGTAATATACAACAATCTGAATATGGAGCCTCATTGAGATCCCATATCTCTGGGACTGAATGATGTAGGGCCTTGAAAATGAAGACTCCAAAAGAAAAGTTTATTAAGAATTAGAATCTAAAATCATACTGCGTTGCGATATCCTCAATACTTCTTGAGTTATAGGCATGCAAACTTTGGAAAAAGAATACTTATGGCACTCAGACATCTGTGTTCAATGCAGTTGTTTTGACAGAAGGAAACAAGATACGTTTCTAGTTTTAATATTATTTGTTCTTCAGACTTTTCTCTTTAAAACAGAAGAAGTATCATATTTTTGCAAAGTGACCCACATTTGGTTTTTGACCACTGAAATGTGTACAATTTAACGATTTAAGGCCCGTTCACACCAAGCACGATAACTATAAAGATAACGATAAAGATATAGTTATAAAAATCGTTCTCAATAGATGAAGATGCCGTAAGGGAAGTTTGGTAAGACCCAACATCTATGCATTAAGGCATTAACGGCATTAAGATATCTTTAAAACTTTTTGAGTTACAGGTCTGCAAACTTCTAGAGAAAAGTTTTTTTGAAACATGTCCATTTTTGAATGGTCACCATTGGCACATAATGCAACAAAGATTGCTAAAGTCAACAGATTTTACTAATAGAGTTGCCGATCTCTGTGTAAAAATAATATTTTATTGGCTCCTATCAGAAAGGAAAAACTTAGGCGCCAAATAATTTTTTTTAGGTGCCACAGAATAAATATGTTTTATTTATTTATTTGTTACATTTTAACATTTCAGTCATACTATCATGTGTTTATGTCTCATCTTTTCTTGACTTTATCAGCATTTTAATCTGTATTGTAGATGACCTGGGAACTAAGGTTCACTTAAAGTGGGAACTAAATGTCTTTAAAAGAAAATAATTGTTCACTACATTGAGATCCAAAATATTTTGAAGAACACTGGCTTTCATTGCATGGACAGAAAGAAAGAAAGAAAAAGAAGAAAGAGACATGTTTCAAAATGTGTTTATTGTGTTCTCAGAAGAAAGAAAGTCAAGCAGGTTTGGAATGGCATACGTTTTTATTTTTGGATGAACTATCCCTATAATTTGGAGCTTCACACAAGGACACAATGATGGCTCCATTAAAACCAGGCCTATAGAACATGAAATAGTCAGACCCTCAGTTGATTCTCTCGCAACACTTTCATGTTCATCTGTGTTTGTTCACTGCACTGATAAGTAGCTTCATGCAGAAGCATTGCCCTCAAAACTCCACAGAAAGCTCTGCAGATCTCCTCAGAACTGGAACACCTGCCATTCACAAATCTCTACACATCCCCAGACCCACTGTCAACAACTCTCCTGTTCTCTCTGACAAAATCCCATTAAACTGTCACTTATGACTCCTACTGAGCTTCAGCTATATGTTTTCCTTCCTAAAAGCGAGTGGCAGTGTTGTCTCTAAAGTGTAGACCCAGGCATTCCACAACCTTCTATGCCTTTTCCTTTGAGCCAGTAGCTCTCCAGCCCCATTTACATCAGTTTGTCACTGGTTCATGCTGACATAAAATCATTTTTGTGTTGCTAAAAGTAAACTTTGTGGAGCGAAAAAGGATATACGTTGCACCAGCGCACAATCAAATGCTAAGTTATTTTGGCAGAAGTCACCAACTCTTACAGAAAATGAAAAAGTTCAGGTTGCTCCAAGTTGCTGTAGGTGTGAACCAGTGTTAATTTCGTTGACGAATAATTTTCGTCATAAATTTCGTCAACAACATTTTTTTCCCCGACGACAACGAGACGATAACGAACTAAAACTCTTGTTGAATGACAAAAACTATGATGTAAATCTATTGACATTTTCGTCAATGAATAAAAACGAGATGAAAATGTTAGGGAGGGACGATTTGGGAAGAGATTCATTCAGAACGAATCTGCTGCGTGGTTCGGAGGTTAGATGCGTACATATGAACCGGCGGGACATAAGCTAACATACACTAGGGATGGGCGATACCTCTTATTTTATTTTCGATCCGATGCCGATATTTTCAAGTCCAGTATCGCCGATATTGATACCGATGCCGCTAAACTAAACTGATCTTTTAAATTATTAAAAGAATATAATCAGTAATGATATTCACTTATTTATCACATATTAGATTTTAAAGCCATGTTTTTAACATTTCATAGGCCTTTTTTGTTTACACTCTCAGAAATAAAATATACTATAATTGTACTTTAGCCCTTTACTGGGGCAGTAACCTCAAAGGTGCAACTATACCCTTAAAAGTGAGCATATTAGTACCAGTATGCATGCTTTAAGGGTAGATAAGTTACAAAGGTGCACCTTTGAGGATACCTCATGAGAAATAAACATGGCGTTACATAAGTACTAAAATGTATTGTTATTATTATTATTACCCTGGTAAATTTGTGGTTACTGCAGTTTTAGTACAAATACTGTGGTAAACTGTGGTTACTGTAATAAAACCATGGTTAATTTTTGTAAAAGGCTGCCAGGCTGTTGTACCCCTAAAGCTGAAACTTTAGCATATTTTTTTCTGACAGATTTATTAACCGCGATTACAGAACATAACACAATCCATTTGAACTTTTAACAACCAGTTTAAATAAATTTACTTGCACAAACTAGCCAATTTAAAATAAATATACATGTACACAAAAGTTTGGGGTCAGTAAGTTTTTTTTTAAGTCTCATGCTCACCAAGGCTGCACTTAAAAAACAGTAAACAGTAAAACAGTAAAAGCAGCTATTAAAATAACTATTTTCTATTTTAATATATTTTAAAATGTAATTTAAAATGTATCTGTGATCAAAGCTGAATTTTCAGCATCATTGCTCCAGTCTTCAGTGTCACATGATCCTTCAGAAATCATTCTAATATCATTTACAGAATTAATTTTATATATGGTAACAATGTTATGTAGGCTAATGTAATAATGTGGCAATGGTTTCTTAAGATTTATTTATGCTTCTGATGCTTTTGGGAAACACAGCCCTATTTAAACAAGCACTCTGAGCCATGCGTCAGCAGCGAACGCTCTCTGTGATTGATTTGTTCTGTCTTTCAGCATTTGCGTGTGTTCCGATGAGCAGGAGAAATGGTTCTATCCAACACAATTATTCGCTAATATATTTAGAAGCTTTTATTATGCACCGAATTTCTTGATAAATAAATAAAATTAATGGTTAAAAAATGCACTTTGGAATCGATATTTTTATGTGAGGATCGATCCTTTCGATACAACTTAGTATCGATACTTAATCGATCGATCGATCCACCCATCCCTAACATACACTTACTGCACGTCGCATAAAACGTTAAAAAATGTCAATATGTGGAAGTAAGAGAAGAGCAGACGTTTGGATAAATGAACCAACGCACGTGAAAAAAAACGACGGAAGAGAGAGCTCATTTCGGTCCGGTTTTCTGAGCGCAGACACTGAAGCATACACACACAGAAAGCGCATCTCACAGCGCGCGAGTAGCCTACTCTCTCGCATCGCATGAACGGAGAATTACACACAAAATGATGTTGAATTGTGAACGCAAATTTTCTACTAAATGTTCATCATCATTACTGCAGTCTTCAATGTCACATGATCTTTCAGAAATCCTTCTAATATTCTGTTTTGCTGCTCAGAAAGCATTTCTTATTATCAATGTTGAAAATTTTTGTGCTGCTTAATATTAACTTTTTTTCAGGATGCATTGAATGATGAATAGAAAGTTAAATCATGAATAGAATAACAAATATTTGAAATAAAAAAATATTTTGTAATATTGTGAATGTCTTTACTGTCACTTTTGATTAATTTAATGCATCCTGAATGGAGAATTACACACAAAATGATGTTGAATTGTCCGTTTTGACGAGTATTCACGTAAACAGTTGATTACTAGAACGGTAATTAAAGGCTATAATGCACACCAGCACACCAGTATAGGTGTGTGTATTGTAGGAGCTAGACGACATATGTTGACATGTGACGGCATAGTAGTGGTGTCCCAATTCTTAGGGGAATATTTTCACACCTACCCCTTGACGCTCTGTTTCAAGGGACAAGAGGAAGGGGTAGGCGGAGGGGAAGGGGAAGGGGTATAAAATAGAAT